TCCAGAGACCCTAACCCAGACCCAGAGACCCTACCCCTGACTCAGAGATCAAATCCTTAATCCTGACCCAGAGACCCTAACCCTGATCCAGACCCCCTAACCCAGACCCAGAGACCCTACCCCTGACTCAGAAACAGGATCCTAACCATAACCCTCGCACTAAATCAACCTCGTTTCAATGTCATCCTGACCATGACCTTAACCCTCACCGTACCTCTAACCCTCACCTTGACAACTAACCCTGACCCTATCCCCTCTTCCCTGTGGTTCTCCTAGCCCCAAGCCCGGCACCCTCGAATACCTCCCCCCTACGCTTGCAAAAACAACGTCGACCCCCTTACTTTATAGACGGCGGGCGTGCGATTACTCGAGTGAGTTTATTGGTTGTGTATATTCCGTACACAAGATTCGCTAAAATTTCCGTTGTTTTTTAACAGTACTTGCTCCCGTGCACTGTGTTGTACATATGGTATATTGGTACATTTCCCCCCACCCACCACCATCACCACCCTATCTCCTTTTTGACTGAATTGGTAACGGAATTTGTTAATTGTTAGTTTAACAAATAACACACGCGCGCGCGCAGAGTTACGCGAAAGAAAACAAAATTATTGTGAATGAAGACGTTGAGAGACAAGTGTGAGAAGCTACGAAACCCGTTACTTTTGGGTGGGGTGGTGGCTTGTTTAATTTTCAATTAAATTTATTTCGATTGAACATTATTCTTCGGAGTTTGTAATGCGCGGCAAGCAAAAAAAATCTGCGCCTCTTAAAAAAAACACACACACACATGCGCGCGTGCGTGCGCGCGCGCACGCGTGCGCGAAGATTGAACGTGAATTCAACTGTGAAACAAGTCCAAGTCGGTTCTCCCTCGGTTATGCTTATATTTGTTTGTGACGCACAGAGGCAGACGGAGCCGTCCATGGACAAAATAAAATAAAAAGTTTTGTACTAAATGTCGTCGGTCCTCGTTCAATGCGACCTCGTATCTCTCGCTCTCTCTCTGTGTGTGTCTCTTTCCTGCACAATATAATGTTATCAGCATCATCATCGAATGAAAAATAAGAATAGGTTTTACCCTTTCTGGGAATAAAGGAGGTGTTTTAAGGCGGGAATCCATACTCTTTGGTTCTTTCGGTAAAGTCACGTAGGTATAAAATTTATTTTATTTGTATTTTAAGGCCTTGACACAGAGGCGTTGTCTTTCTGTTTGTCTAAGTGTATGCCTCTCTCTGTGTCTCTGTGTGTCTCTTTCTGCGTGTGTGTCTGTCTGTGTGTCTCGGTGTCTGTGTTTTGTCTCCCTCTCTCTCAAATTTAGCAATCTTTGAAAGAACGTTAATCAACCAGGTAGGGTGTTGACTGTTGTGTTAGACGACTCTGTGTTATATTGCATTATATTTCTAAGTTTGTTTGCTTATTCATTCTTACCTGATGATGGTTGCTTGTGTTTCAATCGAAACGTCGTATTCTATTGTTATTTAAATTATTTTCTTTCTACTTGACTTTTTACCGAAAAACTTTACCGAAAGAATCAGAGTAATAAGTAGATACCTTTTGCAAGGAATCGTCCTCCTTAACCACACGCACTTGTCGTGCTCTGATAATGGTTTTGAACATCTTAACACCTGTTTTATTGCAAGAAAGGGTAAAATCTATTCTTAAGTTTCATTCTTTGATTATGGAAAAAGGTCACATGATATAGCATCATCATCGCGATCATTATCAGCATCGCCATCATCACCGTCATCACCATCATCATCACCATTATCATCAGCAGCAGTTAGGTTTGCTTGAACAAATAGGCAATGATCCTTTCTGTTAAGAATTGGTGACCGAGATGAGTTGAATCACTTGTGTGCAGGAGTTGATGGCAGACTGTCTAAATGACTGGGTCCCTTTGCTATCGCACCTCATCGATGGTCCCCCTCGTCACCCACAAACTCCCTCGTCGCCCACATCCACCCTCGTCATCCACATCCACCATCGTCACCCACAAGCACCCTCGTCACCCACATCCACCCTCGTCATTCACAACCATCCTTGTCACCCGCAACCACCCTCGTCACCCACAACCACCCTGGTCACTCACAACCACCCTTGTCACCCACAACCACCCTGGTCACCCACATCCACCCTCGTCATCCACAACCACCCTGGTCACCCACATCCACCCTGGTCACCCACATCCACCCTCGTCATCCACAACCACCCTGGTCACCCACATCCACCCTCGTCATCCACAACCACCCTCGTCACCCACATCCACCCTCGTCATCCACAACCACCCTCGTCACCCACATCCATCCTCGTCACCCACATCCACCCTCGTCACCCACATCCACCCTCGTCATCCACAACCACCCTGGTCACCCACATCCACCCTCGTCATCCACAACCACCCTGGTCACCCACATCCACCCTCGTCACCCACAACCACCCTCGTCACCCACATCCACCCTCGTCACCCACAACCACCCTCGTCACCCACATCCACCCTCGTCATCCACAACCACCCTTGTCACCCACATCCACCCTCGTCATCCACAACCACCCTGGTCACCCACATCCACCCTCGTCACCCGCAACCACCCTTGTCACCCGCAACCACTCTCGTCACCCACATCCACCATCCCCCTAATTTCCGCCCGCCCGCCATAAGTCACTCTCTCCCCACCTCCTCATCCCACGCACCCCAGAAGTGGGTAAACCAGTTCGCACCCGGGTTCTGCTCCACGTTGCGTGCGACTGGAGTAAGCTCACGTGGTGCAGCGATTGTTACTCAAAAGTTCGCTTGGATTAGTCCAGAGCTCCTGGATCTACGGCCGAATTCTGCAGTCCACTCGCTGGTTTACGCGTGTCACCGGTATATGTGTGTGTCTGCATCATCACGAATCTCACGTACACACACACACACACGAAGACAAAGATCCCCAACAGAGACCTTTCACAGACTGTTGGGGCAAGTGCTGTCGGAGAACACTTATGAAGAAGACTGGCACGGAACACGAGGGGGTGGGTGGCCAGCATCACGCCCGGCCGCCTTTGTCTCACAAGCGGCGTTGTGTTCAAATCACACCAGGTACTGTACTCATTTGACCCAGACATAACGCTCACCACACACGTTACCCATCTCGCATGCACCAACATCAGTACAAAGATGCCCCGTACAGCCTGCATAGCCTGTCGAGGCAAGTGCTGTTGGCGATCACCTATTAAGGCTGACATGGCGCAAAAAAAAATGTAACGTGCGCGTGTTTTTGTGGCCTACGGTTAGCTGAACCGATCCTGGGCCACCCCTAGGTCGACTCGGCCTCAAATGAGTACTTGGCACGGTGCCCAAACATCGTCGATGGAGAGACAAAGGCGGCCGGGTGTAGTGTTGGCCACCCACCCCCTCGCGTATCGTGACGACCTTCATAGCGAGCACGTGCCCTGGACAATCCGTTAAATGCGACACGGGGGAATCTCTCTCTGGCCTTAGAAGCACCACGTCCCTGCGTTGGTCCGTGGACGCCTTCATTTTCCTGATCGTCTTCTTAATTCGTAGAATAGTAGAATACGGTAATGGTGTCAAGGGGGGGTGGTCAAGGTGATGCGGTCGAGCAACTGGCGCGAGTCTTTTGGCAAATCGAATCAATCGCGCGCGGTTTTTCTTTATTGCGTCGACGTTTCAACGTCGAGAAACCTCGTCCAGTTTGACCGCGCGGTCACGAATTCGCGTCGCGTTATCGCAAAAGGCCCCTCGCCTGCCGCCCCCCGAATCCCAGAAAGATCGAACTCCACCCCCCCCCTCCCCCGACCCCGCTTTCGAATCCACAAAACATCCTCAGCCACGTGGGCATGCGAGAGGCAACTTGGTGCGGAAGGGTTTAAGGAGGGATCGCGTTAACGATGTCGAACGCGAAGAAACTGAAACAAAAATAATCGAAGAATCAACACCAGCAGCGGCAGCAGCAGCCGAACTTCGATGCAGAGCGGGAAAACGCGTGCACAGAGAAGATCTCGTACGTGAACATATCTCGTAAGTGAACATGTCTCGTACGTGAACATATCTCGTAAGTGAACATGTCTCGTACGTGAACATATCTCGTAAGTGAACATGTCTCGTACGTGAACATGTCTCGTCAGATATGTCACTGCTTCATACCATATGGGTATTTTATGATGTCAGACCAGATTATTTAAAACCTGATTAATTCATCAATACACACAAAGCGGACATGTGTACCAGGTGTATACATCATTTAGAACAACTATTTGTTTTTCTTCCGGATAATAGAATCCGTCAAATCATATCGGATACCACATAACCACATTATTTCACCGCTTCAGAGCGGATATTTTACCGGATAAGTCACCATTCCAGAGCAGACGTTGTCACCACACTCGACCAGATACTCATTCCCTGCACGCTTGACAACCAGCGGTAGGCTGGTGATTGTATTTTTCTTACAACCCACTCTGTTTACCGCCCGAGTAAAGAACCGCAAGAGAATGAACAGCGCAGATAAGCAGACGATGCGTCTCATTCATAGGTCTGCGTCTCCGCATCAACGCAACCACGGAGAAACATTGCCCCAGTATCAAGGTACTGAATGATATTTTTTTTTAAAAATGCAGTCTTATACCCCTTTCTCGTGCAAATATTTGGTGTTCGAACATCTGAACACCCGTATTTATGTCATCATTCAATTAAAAAAAAAATGCTTTGCACGCATTCCATCCGTCCCACAGCGATTGTGGGGGTGCGTAAACCAAGCAGCACTGATTCGGCACAAGCACAACTTAGCTCTGCGCCGGTTTCGCCATGCAGTGTCTCATCAGCAGCGTCGGGCTCGTTGGAAGCAAAGGTGGTGAAACCGGGGGGCTGTAGTGGAGTGGTCAGCGCGCTGCGCTACGGACCCGGCGACCCGAGTTCGATTCCCGCTCACGGCCAACTTCAGTGTCGATTGTCTGAATCAGTCCTGGGCCTCCCGTAGGTCGACTCGGCCTCAAATGAGTACCTGGTGCGGCGTGTAAAATTATCACCACTGGGGAGACAAAGGCGGCCGGGCGTGGTGCTGGCCACCAAGCCCCTCGTGCTCCTTGTCGGCCTTCTTAGGTACTCGCTAACAGCACTCGTCCCAACAGTCTGTTAAGGCTACACGGGGGATCTTTGTCTTTGGCGGGCCGGTGCCTGCTTTTGCCGGCGTCATGGGGCAATTGGCGACCCTGAAAGCTTCCGGAATATCTGTGAACCCTCATTCTGAGAGCAGCCTCTCTCGCCCAGGACGCCCCGGTGCGATTTGTGTTTTTGGTGTAGCGAGCGGCGTCGAGCTGGGACGCGATGGCGGTGCGGCGATGGATCCCTGGAATCCACTCCCTGCGGAGCTTCCCATGTGGCCGCGTGTGCGGCGGGCTCCGTTGCGTTTCCTCCGTGCGCGCCCGGGTTCTTCGCCCGGGTTTTTCGCCCGGGTTCTTCGCACGCGTCCAAACGCTCGCCCGCAGACGTCATCCAAACACGCCGAATCGCAGAGGAACTTCCTCGGAGGGGTAAACGTCGAGGCTCGCCGAGAGGGAGAACCCATTTTTAAACAAAACAAATGAGCCAAAATTTGTTTTTGTACATTTCAAGATGCCCGTAGCCGGAACCCGTTGTTTAGCCCTGCGAGGAAAGGGGAAAACGCGGAGACGGCGTCGGGGGCGTGCTGCTCACTGGTGTCTCTTGTTGTGCAGCGCCAGGTGGTCGGAGCGAGAGAAGGCCCGGCCGCACGCGTGGCACGGGAAGGGCCGCGAGCCGGTGTGCTTGCGGAAGTGTCGCGTGAGCTCGTCGGAGCGCGCGAACCTCCACGTGCAGCCGGCCCACGCGCACGCGTACGGCTTCTCGCCTGCGGGGGCGTCACAGGTGCGCGTCACAGGTGCGCGTCACAATAGGATATCAACCCCCCACCACCACTACCCCCCAATACCAATACAACCGCCGTTCGCCACTAATTAACGGTGACGTCACCACGGCGGCTGTGCCAGGCCCAGGTGCACTTTGAGGCCACGCGAAGTGTCGAAGGCTCGCTGACAGGAGGTCTCGGGACAGACCCAGGTGCCATGGGTTGGATGACTGAGATGACCAGTAGATGCACCAGCTGTACCACCCCCCCCCCCCCCACTGTGCCAACTTGCTGCATTTTAGCCACCCGGCGCTCCGCTCGTTGTTGTGAGCGTCGCTCCTCTGCCCTCCATTGATCCCCCCTCGCCCACCACCCTCACCACCCCAGCCACCGCCGTGTTGGAGCACGTGCTGTTAATATAATAATAATGTGCCATTGTATAGGGGGAGTCTGCTGGCCGGTGTCGTCGGTCCTTGACGCAAATTGGCAAAATATTTTTCTTAAAAACGTGAAAATGTTGGGAATAGGTTTTACCCTTTTAACTGGCACAAAAAACTGACACCTTTATTCAAGGCATCATGTTTGCAAAAACCACAACACAAGCAGTCAGAATGCAAACAAAAAAGACAACTCTGATAATATGCACTGTCCTTGAATTTGATTGGTCCACACCCGAGACAGCTTTTCTTAGAGCCTAGTCTCCATTGGTGTTGGACCAGAAGACGCCAAAAGGCGTACAACTCAAAAACAGCGCACCATCAGAGTATTGAGGGCTCGGGGTGAGCATTTACATTATGAGACCTCCTTTGCCAGAAACAAGATATAGGAATAGGTTTTACCCTTTTAACTGGCACAAAAACTGACACCTTTATTCAAGGCATCATGTGGTCGCGGTTCGGAAAGACGTGGTCCTGAACGAAACACGCATGGAACATAAACTCGGCAACAAAGGTGTACGTGGATGCACGAGGCAGATGCACGTGGCTTGGAATTTGACATTGAGGGTTGGAAGGAGGACCGCGTGGATCAGGAAACGCACGCAGGTTAACGGCATCGTTCACGTCGGTTGGGAGAGTCGGTGGGGTTTTGGGTGAGGCGCGTCACGGCCTAGATAATCATAAAAAAATGTTTATTTATTCAGTAGAGCCACAATTGAGTCGTAATAATCTTTTTTCAGAATGTTCCTGCTGCATTGGCTTTTTTTTTAAGATGAATTCGGCCAATTAATGATGAGTTTTTTTTTAATTATTATTATTCATTTTAACGCGTAGGCTTTCGCGACCAATATCATACTTAATTTTTTTTGGGTTAGATCGCGTATAAATATATGTGTCGTTACACACCAGTGTGTTGGCTCTCCAACACACTGGTGTGTTGTACTAGGGACGAATTGGCATGTTCTGTTTACGTGACAACCCTCACTAGTTGGCTGTGTCGGGTGTGGCGGGTTTAACGACCAGCAGCACCACGCCCGGCCGTCTTCGATGACGACCGTCATTGCAGTGTTCATGGTGGTGATGTTGCGATGGCAAAGGGTCTTGCTCGGGCACGGCAGTGGTGGGTGGGGGGGGGTTGTCTGCGGGTGGGCGAGTAACTTTATTTAGTTACCAGTGACAAGGGGGGGGCCTGTGCACCCCCCTCTTCCACTGCCCCCCCCCCTCCACCTTCACCTCCCAACACCACTGCTCCCCACTCTGCCCCTCGGTGAGCGTAGGGATAGAAACCGGAGATCGCTCTTCCTTCCCAGATGTCCAATGGTGGGTCCGATGTTGGAGTTGGCAGAGCCGTGTTATGCGTGGTGGTGGGGGGGGGGGGGGCAGTGTCATCTTCTCCACACCCACCCCCCCAATACTCTCTACTCACGAATAAAAAACAACTTCGGTTCTGTTTGAGCTAAAAACATCCCAGTGTTGAAAAAGGACACTGCACGTCAACATCGCTGTTCTGTGATTGCTTCCCTGGGTGAAGCGAGCGTGATGATGGTGATAGGTGCGAACTTTAAGGTTCGCTTCCCGTTGCGTGCCGAGCCTGAGGTTCCGACAGCAAAGGAGATGGATTCAACCTTTACGAGCTCCCAGGCCTCTCCTGTCATCGTTTATGTCGGGACGACTTGTTCCCACACGTCTCGCTGCCTTGGGAAATGTTATATATATATAGATGTGTGTGTGTGTGTACTTATACATTGTGATATCTGTGTGTGTACACACGCATTGTGATAGATGTATGTGTATGTACATACACATTGTGATAGAGGTATGTGTATGTACATACACATGGTGATAGATATGTATGCGTGTGTATGGGCAGTCGTCGACTTACGAACGGGTTACGTTTCCTGAGACAAGTCGGTTTTGTTCATAACCTGGAACTTCATAGTGAATTGTAAATACGGTCAGTTGTTATAAAGTGTGTTGTGGTTCCACAAAAAAGGGACGTTTTGCCAAACTCATACATAACGATAATCATTGTACATATGCTTGTAATACTGTGATAAATACTTCATGGTAAATTAAATAACATGAACGCATATTTTGTTTCATGTCTACGTACTTCGAGTCCTGATGCGGGCTTGCTTTGTCGCAAGGGGCGTGATGAGTCCCAGCGAGATGCTGGGACTCATGACGCCTCGCTAAGGGATCGCTCCGCCAAACAAAATAGTTCCTCCGGTTCGACTCATATGACCGACCCCACCACTCCCCCCTCTGGCCTTCGTACCTGAGGGCCTCACAAATGACGACATCACATTTATCCCTCTATTTAAGAACGAAACAGGAGGATTTATCCACAAAATCTGCCTGTCGCCTGATGAGGCTGGTTGTAATTACTGGCGAAACGTCGTACTTTAAATTGTAAACGTTGTGGATTTACTCTTCAGCACACCGGGTAGTGCTGTACTAGTAACGAATTGGCCACGTTCTGTTTACGTGACAAACCTTACTAATTGGCTCTGTCGAGTGGTGGCGGGTTTAACGACACATTTATATTCCACCCAAACAAATCCTCTTATGGATATGACCGAACGGCTGCAAGTTGGATGGTTAGAAATAACACCTTGTTGATGTTTGTTCTTAAGTGCGGATTTTTCGAAGTCGGAGGTTCGTATCCCAATGTATTCCCTGTATGCGGGGTTCCCTCGCGCTATGCGGGTTCGGATTGTGCGATTCCGCGCCGTATCCGTAGCTAATCTATTTCTACCCAAAATTCGCTCAGCTATGCGGTTTGAATTCATTCTGCACGCGGCTATACGGTCGGACGTGGGATAACACAGTGTGTGTATACTCTGTGTGTACTATGTGTGCTGTGCGTGTACTGTGTGTATACTCTGTGTGTACTATGTGTGCTGTGCGTGTGCTGTGTGTGTACTGTGTGTACTATGTGTGTATTGTGCGTGTACTGTGTGTATACTCTGTGTGTACTATGTGTGCTGTGCGTGTGCTGTGTGTATACTCTGTGTGTACTATGTGTGCTGTGCGTGTGCTGTGCGTGTACTGTGCGTGTACTATGTGTGCTGTGCGTGTGCTGTGTGTATACTTTGTGTGTACTATGTGTGCTGTGCGTGTGCTGTGCGTGTACTGTGCGTGTACTATGTGTGCTGTGAGTGTGCTGTGTGTATACTATGTGTGTACTATGTGTGCTGTGCGTGTGCTGTGCGTGTACTGTGCGTGTACTGTGTGTGCTGTGTGGGTACTGTGTAGTGTGTGTACTATGCGTGCTGTGTGTACTGTGTGTGTACTATATGTGTACTGTGCGTGTATTGTGTGTATACTCTGTGTGTACTATGTGTGCTGTGCTTGTGCTGTGTGTGTACTGTGTGTGCTGTGTGTGCTGTGCGTGCGCTGTGTGTATACTCTGTGTGTATTATGTGTGCTGTGCGTGTGCTGTGTGTATACTCTGTGTGTACTATGTGTGCTGTGCGTGTGCTGTGCGTGTACTGTGCGTGCTGTGTGGGTACTGTGTAGTGTGTGTACTATGCGTGCTGTGTGTACTGTGTGTGTACTATGTGTGTACTGTGCGTGTACTGTGTGTATACTCTGTGTGTACTATGTGTGCTGTGCGTGTGCTGTGCGTGTACTGTGCGTGTACTGTGTGTGCTGTGGGTACTGTGTAGTGTGTGTACTATGCGTGCTGTGTGTACTGTGTGTGTACTATGTGTGTACTGTGCGTATACTGTGTGTATACTCTGTGTGTACTATGTGTGCTGTGTGTGTACTGTGCGTGTACTGTGTGTGCTGTGTGGGTACTGTGCGTGTACTGTATGTGTACTGTGTGTACTATGTGTACTGTGTGTATACTGTGTGTGCTGTGTGTACTACCGGGCAGGCAGCTGTCTCCTAGTGCGGATTTACGCATTGTGCCCCAGTGCGCGGGGGGGGGGTCTTGAGATTTTACATCGGTCACCGCATCGAAGCGCTTTCAGATGCGCTTCTGCGGCCGTCTGGAACGCTCTTCTGTCCGATATTGGGAAGTCACTGGAGGGAGCTTTGCACGTTTAAATCTAGGTTGAAAACTAATTTCTTTAGAACCGCTTGTTGAGTTTCGTTTGTTGCCTCTCCCCCCGCATCTCCGATCAGCACGGTTGGCGTATGCGCGGTGCGAAAGAAGTTCAACACACGTACGTTCAAGAAACTTGTCCCATTGTTTCAACTGGCGCGCTGGGACATCGTGTTGAACCGGCGACCTCTGGGTTGCAAGTTCAACGCGCTACTTATACATTACAGGTAATTATCACAAATCTTTACGTGATCCCAACAATCCTGAGACCACAACAAACTCAGAAAAAATATATTTATACTGGAGGAATCCGATAAGCTGTAAAGCTCTTGTTTTTTTAACAGATGCCCAGTATGGGCACGGTGGGGGGGGGGGGGGGTCACACAGGCAACGTTAACCGCGCCCGGTATGGCGCGATGGGAGGAAGGGACAGGTAGCTAACAGTGGCCCGTGGCGGGAGATACTTGAGTCAGCAAACGTGGGGGAGCCAGGAGTTTTCGCCCAAGTCACTCACCTGTGTGCGTCCTCTGGTGAGCTTTCAGGTGAGAACTTTTGGTGTACACCTTGGAGCAGCCTGGGGAAAGAGGTGGGGGTGTGAGGAAGAGTGGGGAAGACCAGGTGAGGGGAGAGTTAATGAGATCAAAGTGAGGTGGTGGGGGGAGGGCGTAGCTGGTGCGGTGTGTATACAGCAGCAGTGGAGAGATAAAGGCGGTCGTGGGTGGTTCTGGCCACACGGCCTTCCTCGAGCGCCGTACCACCTTTCATAGGCACTCGCAAACAACAGCACTTGTCCCCAACAGCCTGTGTAGGCTATACGGGTGATCTTTGTCATTTTTGTATCTGTGTTTATAATTAAGTCCTGTATATATGGGGAGCGGTAGCACAGTGATTAGTGCACTGCGCTTCGAACCTGGCGACCCAAGTTTGATTCCCGCTCACGGCCAACGCCAGTGACGAATATCCGAATCGGTCCTGGGCCTCCCCTACGTCGACTCAGCCTCAATTGAGTACCTGGTGCCATGTGTGGACATCGCCACTGGGGAGACAAAGGCGGTCGGGCGTGGTTGTTGCCCACCCACCTCGTATACCGTTCCGGCCATCATTGGTGCTACTCGCTATAACAGTACTCGCCCCAACAGTCTGTTGAGGCTATACGGGGTCCGGGGGTGATCGTTGTCTTTGTAAATAAACACACACACACACATGAATGGTGAGCGATTGAGTCGTTCTGCAAGCTGCAAATGCCTACATCTCCCCCCCCCCCTACTCCAAACCCCACTCCCCTCCGCCTACACGCGGTTATTCAGGGATGCGACAAGAAGCCGGGCATATGACGCTCATGACGGTGGTGGGGGGGGTTAACGTGTGGGGGTAGTGGGGTTCGTGCGGGGTGTAGCCCCTTCGAGACAAGCGGCTGCTGGGTCAGGCGCTTGAGCCGAATGTCGGCAGAGTTGTCACCCAGGTGAAACATTGCGTCTATGGCGGTGACTCACGCCAAAGGCTCCCCCACGAGCTCGTTCGTCGCCGCCCTGCGTTAGACGGCGTCGCCGGGACAGCTTCACCAGGCTTGGCTGCTCGGCAGCCGGATGTCACTCGCCGCTGATTGCTGGCCCTTGCCGGAATTTAAATGAGAACGAAACTAAAATCCTTGTTTTGTTTTGTGTTACCCGGTAAGGCCCATTGAGTTGTATCGCTCTTTTTTTTTTTTCCGGACGCGACCCGGCTATCACTAATAATGATTGCTCAACGAAGTGGCTTGTCGTGTCGAGGTTTAGAGCCGCAGCCAAATACTCTAAACGCGTGACGTTGATTCTAAATGTGTGGGTGGGAGGGAGGGTGGGGCGGAGAAAAATCCACGCGACCACGGGGAAAGAGAGACACCGCAAACTCCAAATACAGCAGGCGTCAGGGTCAGGATCGAACCCACGTCCTCCTGCACACCGGGCGAGGTAGTTAACATCTCCTAGCCACCGAGGGCAGGTTCACAGTGCGCTAACCGCTGCACCACCGCCACCTCCGACAGTGTTTATACGAGGTGGCCCAAAAGTCAGGACACACAGGGTTATTTAATATATTTTACGACTGGCATTGCATTCTGTAATTGTTTATTCTTTGAGTTAATGTTATCTATTATTATTGACATCTAATTGTTTTCTTCATTTAGGGGAGGGGGGGTCACCTTAAATCTGTCGTTTACAAAACTCGACCAAGAACCCGGAATGAAAAGTCCTATATTAACTTCTAAAGATAATTCATGCATCGTTCATTCGTGTTAATAGAAGTCTGTTTGAACATTTGTTAAAAATAAATGAAGCCACCCTTTGTGATTTGTCAAAGTAAATATAATAGCCCTACGTGTCCTGACTTTTGGGGCCACCATCTACATATAGGGGGTGTACACGTGAGCGGGCAGCAGAGGGTAATGCAAAAAAATACCTTTGTACAACACTTCTATGACGCCCCCCTCCCCCCCCCCCCCCCCCATGTACGCTGCCCACTTCACTAATCTAATCAGCACTGACCAGCGTGGTGAAGTATGGTCAAATAACCCCCCCCCCCCCGCTCGTACGACCTCGCACGAGCGCGCGAGGAAGGCGCCAGGCCCCTCTCATCCAGCAGCGGATTGACGGGACGGTTTTACAGCGCGCGTGCACACGTGACGCGTGACGGCGAGTCGATGTGCTGAAGTCATCTGAACAATGGAAATGGGGAAAGGCAGCGGGCGAGACAACAACGGACGTTGCTTCGCTTGTGCCGGGGAGGTGGTGGTGGGGGGGGTGATGGTGCCTTAGTCTGGCTCAGTGAGCCTCGACTGCACTGACCCGCGACAGGGAATCCAACCTGGGAAGAGGCAGTGGTGGATCCGCCTCTTCTCCAACTCGGGGTTGGTTCGACGGCCGCTGCGTGGAGCTCCGGGGAGTCGTGGTGTAACTTGCTGATGCTGATGATGTTGCTGATGATGTTGCTGGTGCTGATGATGATGATGGAGACTTTCCTGCTGATGCCGCTGTGGCTGATCTTTAACGCTTTCCTGCTGCTGCTGCTGCTGATGGTGAATACTTTGCTGCTGTTGTTTCTGATACTGCTGTTGCTGATGATTAACACTTTCCTGCTGCTGCTGATGATGATTCAAACTTTCCTGCTGCTGATGATTATGATGGTGAACACTTTGATGCTGCTGTTTCTGATGTTGCTGGACACTCTCCTGCTGATGATGATGCTGCTGATTATAAACACTTTCCCGCTGATGCTGCTGCTGCTCGTCGTTTGAATGTAGACAGTGGTGTTGCTGTGCCACGTTATTATGATCAGCATCATCAGCGGAAACATCTCGTTGGTACAAGTCGTGCTCATGATGATGATGATTCTGGCTTTGCTGACTTTGAGCCAAGCTTGGGCTGTTTAAACAGTGCTGTAGTAATTGCTGCTGCTGCTGATGATGTAGTTGTAGCTCAGCCTCGGGGTGTTGCTGCACCTGCTGCTGCTGATGGTCCTGCAGCTGATGCTGCTGCTGATGATGATGATGATTGTGCGGCCCACTCGTGTACAATTGAGGAGAAAATTTCACGGGCGCGTGACAATGCTGGACAATCTCGATACACAGTTGATCTTGCTGTTGATTTTGGTGCTGCTGCCGATGCTGCTGCTGCTGATGATGATGATGGGGGTGATGATGACCCATGGGCTTCTGCTGGTGCTGCTGATGATGATGGTGGTTTTGAAGCTGATGTTGCAAACCCAAACTTGCGAGCACATCTCCATCCACTTCGGGGCTATGTGGCTGTGACCTTGGAGGAGTCAGTGGCAGAAAATGCCCCGAGGGCAGAGGCACGTAAGGGGGTGGTTGTTGTTGCTGCTGCTGCTGCAGCTGTTCCTGGTCCCCGTAGTTAATCGTCAGGCGCGTTGCCATAGTAAGAGCGTTGCCGTGGAAACGCCCATCACCGCCGGTGGGCAAGGAGACGGGAGCGGCGGTACCCGGGTACGGCGGAGGAGGCTTACGAGGCACCGGGCCCTGTGCTGGAGTCGAACCGGGGCGGAACACATTGATGTGCGGCAGCAGCAAGTCCGACGCAGCAGCAGCAGCACAATCGTCATCAGTCGCCTCCAGTTTGAGCCCCCCGTTTAGGGGGCTCGGCTCGGCCAGCACGATGTTCACGTTGATGCTGAGCGGGGTCGATGTCGGCGGTTGGGATTCGGGTCCCACGTGGAACCACGATGGCCGCTGGGAGAACGCGGCCCGGTTCGAGTCCAGGCGAGGGTCCAGGTCGTGGTCACCGTTCACCTGGCACGCACGCACGCACGCGGACTCGTGTGCAATCACAACCGCAGTTGGGATAAATCGAGAACTGTTCTGTCCCCGATCTGTGCCGTGTCGTGCTGGGGGCTACCTCCTGGCCATCACAAAGTGAAAGCGATGTCCTGCTCAAATGGGCGTCGGCGTGGCGATCATCTCAGACGTTCCACGGCCACATGGCGGGGGTAAGTACTGAGTACCTGGAGAGACAAAGGCGGCCGGGAGTGGTGTTGGCCTCCCCACCCCCTCGTGTGCCGTGACGGCCTTCATAGGCGCTCGCTAACAGCACTTGCCCCAGCAGCCCGTCGAGGCTATGGGGGGGGGGGGATATTTGTCTTCGTGATCGTGTGTCCGTGTTTGGTAGTATCGTGTGCGTGATTATGAAATCGGAAACTTTGTGCCGATCGTCGTCCACTGCCTTCAGCGACCATCGGGTTTTATTCCGGGCATAAATTTACTGGAGTTGGCAACCGATGTAAATAAGGTGGGGGGGGGGGGAATGTCCGAAACGGGGGGGGGACTGGGGATGGTGGGGGGGGGGATGAACGTGGTGGGTGGGTGGGGGTGGGTGTATGGAGGTGTTTGATTCGTCCCCACTTCCCGCACCACCTCCTACAGCAGTGATGCTCAGCCTCATTCAGGACAACGCCTTTCCACGCAATCCAGACGCCTGGTCTCGTCGCCCCCCACCCCAAAGACAAAGATGCCCCGTATAGCCTAAACGGACTGTTGGGGGCAAGTGCCGTTAGCGAGCACCTATGAAGGCCGGCACGGCACACGAGGAGGTGGGTGGCCAACACCACGCCCGGCCGCCTTTGTCTCCCTCCTAGCGACGACTCGTGACCAGAGCCCCCTCCGCCCACAACCTACCACTTGTTGTGACATTCATTCAGTTTTCAATATCCATCGTCCCCCACTCTCCTGGCTTTAAAGAAAACACTCAAAGCTCATCCTTGGAATTAAGTTGGTGACTTATTTTGGAAGGTCGGGGGAGGACCTCTCTGCTGCAAGCAAGGGTTGTTGTTGTTGTTGTTTTTTTCCTTTCTTAGCCCGGAAGCAGTTTTGGCCAAGAATAAAAAATAAAACCTCCCTCTCAGAGGTGAGAACTTTGAGAAGGTGGCAGCTGTTGCTACGGACGTTAATTCACAAGTCGAGAAGTGTGACGTCACACGATCCAATAGCGGGCACTGGCTGCACGTGCACAGAACCGCACCGCGTGTTGTTGGTCCTCTGATACACACTCCATGTGGCTCGATATTGATCGAGTCTGGGTCTCTGCGTGAGCCTGTGGGTCTCTGCGTGAGCCTGTGGGTCTCTGTGTGAGCCTGTTGGTCTCTGCGTGAATCTGTGGGTCTCTGCGTGAATCTGTGGGTTTCTGCGTGAATCTGTTGGTCTCTGTGTGAATCTGTGGGTCTCTGCGTGAATCTGTGGGTCTCTGCGTGAATCTGTGGGTCTCTGTATGAGCCTGTGGGTTTGTGTCAATTTGTGGGTCTCTGCGTGAATCTGTGGGTCTCTGTGTGAGCCTGTGGGTTTGTGTCAATTTGTGGGTCTCTGTGTGAATCTGTGGGTCTCTGCGTGAATCTGTGGGTTTCTGCGTGAATCTGTGGGTCTCTGCGTGAATCTGTGGGTCTCTGTGTGAGCCTGTGGGTCTCTGCGTGAGCCTGTGGGTTTCTGCGTCAGTCTGTGGGTCTCTACGCGAGCCTGTGGGTCTCTGCGTGAGCCTCTGGGTCTCTAAGATGTAGTGTGGTAATACACTATGATCCAAATGTAGGTAGCTACTTAGCTGTTTTATTTGTAATGTATCCTGCATGGTAACCATGCTGCAGCCTGTGCCCCCCCCCTCCTTACTTCGCTACCTCTGAAAGAACCGCTGCCATACAGGACACAAGGTCATGTTAAACCCCTGTCCCTGATTCAAGTCTGCCACTCGGCATAACAGCAATCACCAAGACCTTTAAGAGCGAGTCTCTGGACTGTGTGGGCGTGCGTGCTTGCAAGTGGGGAGCGGTGGTGCAGCGGTTAGCGCGCCGCGCTGTGAACACAGTGACCCGAGTTCGATTACCGCTCACGACCAATAACAGGTGGCGAATATGTTAACCAGTCCTGGGCCTCCCCTAGGTCGACTCAGCCATAAATGAGTACCAGGTGCGGTGTGTAAACATTAAGCATTGGAAGACAAAGGCAGTCGGGTGCTGCGACTCTGAGCCGAGGTCGATTCCAAGTCACGGCTAACATCGTCGGCGGACAGTGATATCTGAACCGATCCTGGGTAGGCGGTGCCGGATTATCCTCGTAGCAAAAGTGGCTACACTTGCTACGGGTCCCGCACTTCCAAGGGCCTCGCGCTAAACGCTTTCAAGCTATCAATTCCGGTTCAGTGATTCTGCACTTGCTCTATTACTAAAGTACTATACTGCCTTCAACTTTTATATGAACGACCGGGTGTTTAAGGTTAGCGATTTGTCGCATTATCTGGCTGTATAGCAAATAAATAAATAAACAATACCTTTACTATGCAAGTAAAAATGTGTTTTTTATTATTTAGGGCCCCTTTATAACATATGCTACAGGCCCCGCACTAGCTTAGTCCGGCACTGCTCGTAGATCGACTCGGCCCTAAATGAGTGCCCGGTTCAGTGTGTAAAATCAGCACCAGGGAGATAAAGACGGCTGGGCATTGTGTTGGCCACCCACCCACTCGGTGTGCGTACGTCTGTACCCGTGCAAGTGCTTTGCGCGTGTGTCGTTTCATGTCTATGGATGTGTGGGTGTTTTTTTGTTGTTATGAATGTCTGTGCGTGTGAGCGCGCGTGTGTCTGTGGTTGTGATTGTACCGTGTTCATGCACGCGATGTTGTGGGCGTGTGTACGTGTGTGCCATTGTGTGTGTGTGTGTGTCATCGCTTGCGAAACGTGGACCCCCCTAATGGAACATCTTCGCCGGTTAGAAACATTTAGACTGGCCTGCCTACGATCCATCCTGGGTTTAACCAGACTGGATTGTGTGAGGAGCTCACAAATCCTTGAAAGATCTGGGCAAGGTCCCATCGGTGAGCTCCTCCGGCGGGCAAGGCTGCGATGGCTGGGTCATGTAGCCCGCATGCCCAGCCACCGCATGCCGAAACAGCTTTTGTTCGGCCGGATCGAGGGGGCTAAGCGGGCGCGGCACGGGCTAGAGAAGAGATGGAGTGATGTGGTACAGGAGGACGTGGAGCTGAGTGGACTTGCCGATGACTGGTACCAGCGGTGTCAAGATCGGCCTCTGTGGAGGAGGCTCGTGAAGGACGCTACTGGGAAGTTGGAGGTAGTCGCCCCCCAACAACAACGGAGGGCGGAGGAGCGACGCTCACAACAACGAGCGGAGCGCCGGGTGGCTAAAGCACAGCGGGTTGGCACAGTAGGGGGCACAGGTGGTGCATCAGCCAGTCATCTCAGTCAGTCGACCCGTGGCACCTGGGTCTGCCCCGTGACCTCCTGCCAGCGGGCGTTCGATACTTCACGTGGCCTCAAGGTGCACATAGCCTGGCACAAGCGTCGTGGTGACGTCACCGCCACTTAGTGGCGAATGGTGGTTGTTGTTGTGTGTCATTGTGTGTGTTGGGGAGCGGTAGTGTAGCGGTTAGCGTGCTGCGCTATGAACCTGGAGAACCGGGCTCGATTCCCGCTCACGGCCAACACAAGTGACGATTATCTGAACCGGTCCTGGGCCTCCCCTAGGTCGACTCAGCCTCAAATGAGTACCTGGTGCGGTGTGTAAACATCGCCACTGAGGAGACAAAGGCGGCCGGGCGTGGTGCTGGCCACCCACCCCCTCGTGCGCCTTGCCGGCCTTAATAGGTGCTGCTCGCTAAAGGCACTTGCCCCAACAGTCTGTTAAGGCTACACGGGGGATCTTTTGTCTTTGTGTGTTCTCGTGTGTATGCATCGATAGATGATGGGTGGTTGTGTTGGTGGCGAGGGTTGGGAGTTGTGGTTGGTTGGTGGTGGTGCGGAGAGATGAGAGCGGGGTAAGGGTAGCCGTTGTGGAGGGGTGGAGGGGTGGAGGGGTTGTGGTGGATCACTGGGCGAGTCCCGACACTGATTTACTCATTATACCCCCTCGCTTATCCATCTCGCATATCCCCCGCGCCACCCAAACGCAGCACCTCTCTCCCTCCACAGTTCGTGCACCCCCTCCAACCCCCTTCCCCCCACCCCACTCCATCATCAGCCTTGTTCAATCAACTGCTGGATGAAGCCCTCCCCAAGCCACCACCACTCACGATCTATAATAATTATTCACCCCTAACCTACCCGTGGACAGCTCATTTGATCGGTGGAAGTGCTCCTTCCGACACACCCAGACGAACACATGGCAGACCCTAAAGCAGATCCCCCTCCACTACCCTGCCCCCCCTCCACCACCCTACCCCCCCTCCACTACCCTGCCCCCCTCCACTACCCTGCCCCCCCTCCACCACCCTGCCCCCCCTCCACTACCCTACCCCCCCTCCACTACCCTGCCCCCCCTCCACTACCCTGCCCCCCCTCCACTACCCTACCCCCATCCTCCACTACCCTGCCCCCCCCTCCGCTACCCTGCCCCCCCTCCACTACCCTGCCCCCCCTCCACTACCCTGCCCCTCCACTGCACTGCGCTCTCCCCACCCCAACTTATTTCGTTGTTTGAGGCAGTAGCTATCCTGCACACGTTATCTTCACATACCGGCAGCTGCGGGGAAAGGAGGGAGTGCGGGGGGGGGGGCATGGGGGAAAAAGGGGGGGGGTGGATTTCATTGGAACCCCCCCAAATCATCAACCCCCCCTCCTCATCCCTCTTTTAGCCTCGCCCCGCTACCCCCCTCCCCACCTCCCCTTGCTCTTCCTTACCTGGAAACATAAAAATAGTTTATAGTTTAGTTTCCGCCCGCATTTCTCATCGTCAGCAGCAGCAGCAGCCGCCGTGATCTATCCACTGCTGGCTGAAGGAAGGCCAGCGGCGAGCCATGCCCAATCACACCCCCCCCCTCCACCCATTACCACTCGCAGCCCGTCACGTTGAAGGGGGATCGCTTCGCGAGTGTCAGTCCGGTTAGAGACGCGCCTCGAGAACCCATTGAGGGATGAGACGCGGACCCATTCAGCCAAAGTTCAGTCCCTTGCATCCTCCTCTCACCCTCCTCTTCTCTCCTCACCTCCTCTTCCTCATCCCCCTCTTGCTCATGCAGATTGGGTTTGCTGTACTGCCACCTCTTGGCCACCTCGAAGCCCATAACCGAGACACGTGGTGTACACAAGACACGTGGTGTACACAAGACACGTGGTGTACACAAGACACCAGGCTGAACACAGATTAGCTTCCGATTGAGATAAAGTTGGGCGCGTTCTGAATGATGTGGTCATAGGCGTGACCAGCACTCACCATCAACACCTCTTCTCAACTATCACCACCACCACCCCATCACCACGATCACCACATCTCCGCAATCTCCACACAACCTTCACCACCACTACATCTCTTCAACCACCATCACCACAACCACTAACACAACCAGTGCCTTTATAATTAATCACCGCCACGTCCGCTATAATCAGCATCTTCACTTACTCCACCACCACAACTCCCCAACCATCACGGCCACTACTCTAACCACAACCACCACCTCTATCATGACCAACGCCACCCTTATAACCAATGCCTTCACCACCATGTCTATTACAGTCACCACCGCTAGGACCGTGATCACGTCCAGCATAAACAGCATCACCTCCCCATTCATCACCAACAACACCAACCACCTCATCCTCCTCGACCATCACCAGAAACACCTCGACAACCACCACATTAATCTCACACCACCACCACTATCTCTTTCATCACCACCACCACTATCTCCTTCATCACCACCACCTCCTCGACCACCACCACATTAATCTCACACCACCACCACTATCTCCTTCATCACCACCACCTCCTCCTCGACCACCACCACATTAATCTCACAGCACCACCACTCGCACCACCTCCTACCTGCAGGGCGGCTCGCACAACCCCCGCGTCTCCCGCGAGGGTCTCTCCGACCTCCTCCGCTCCGTCTCCCTTCGGCTCGTCCCAGCGAGTCCCAGGGAACATCTCTGGGCAGTATCCACGATGGGCACGTAAAGGATGCTGCTGCTGTTGGTGAGTGTTGTTGTTTTTGTTGTTGTTATTAATGTGATGGTGGTGGAGGTGATGCTGATGGTGGTGGTGGTGATGATGCAGAGAAGATTGTGACGCGAGCGGTACAGCTGCGACTGTGACTCCTCCGACGCTCATGACGAGGTGGCTGAGACCACACGTGGGCTGGAGGGGCAGACGATGTGAGCGGAGGAGACACAATCGAGGAGGAGGGGCGAGTTGAGCTATCCGCGCCTCTCATCCGCACGTGTCCCACCAACCCTGGCCCGCTCTCGTCTTCACTCGCGCCCAAGCGGTGTGGCGACCTGAGCAGGTCTGGGGAGGAGATGGGAGGAGGAGATGGGAGGAGGAGGAGAGGGATGGGGAGACGATGCGTTAGGGAGGGGAGGGGTGGGTGGGGTGTAAAGGAGGAGGAAGGGAGGGTCCGATGCGCGTGTGTGATGGGTGTTTGTCTGTGTGTCATCGTGTGTGTGTGTTTGTGTGTCTGTGTGTCATCGTGTGTGTGTGTCTGTGTGTCATCGTGTGTGTGTGTCTGTGTGTGTCTGTTGTGGGGAGCGGTGGTGTAGCGGTTAGCGCGCTGCGCTATGAACCAAAGGTCACGGTCAACACCAGAACCGGTTCTGGGCCTCCTCTATGTCGACTCAGACTTAAATGAGTACCTGGCGCGGTGTGTAAACATCGCCACTGGGGAGACAAAGGCGGCCGGGCGTGAAGCGGACCGCACCAGTCTAACTTGTATTGGGCCGCCCGTGTGCTCGTGAACGGCACTTGTCCCAACTGCCACGAAGAAGCTATACGGGGCATCTTTGCCTTTTATGGGGTGTGCGTGGGAGTACGTGGGTGTGCACGGGTGTGCACGCGAGGTCGGTATGCGTTCGTGTTGATTATGGGAGTGTATGGGTGTGCATATGCGTGTGTGTGTGATAAAGTGGTCCCTGTATAGGGGAAAGTGCTGTTAGCGAGCACCTATCAAGGCCGGCACGGCACACGAGGGGGTGAGTGGCCGCCTTTGTCTCCCTAGTGGCGATGTTTACACCAGGTACTCATTTGAGGCTGAGTCGACCTAGGGGACCGGTTCAGGTAATCTTCACTGATTTTGGCCGTGAACGGGAATCGAACCCGGGTCGCCGGGTTTGTAGCGCAGCGCGCTAACCGCTACACTACCGCTCCCCTCTCATTGTAGCCAGAAAGTGCACGTAGCCTGGCACAAGGTCCGTGGTGACGTCGCCGCTACTTAGTGGCGATGACGGTTGTTGTTGTTGTATCTGTGTGATGTATATGTGTTTTGTGTATGTTGGATTCTATGTGTACGCGAAAGGTGTTTGAGTTGTGAGCAAAACGCGTTTACCAATCATTGGGCGCGTGCAGCGTGTATAAACGAATGCTGCGTGTTTGAGACGAGTGGTGAACGTGGTGTAGGTCGCGATCCGATGCGTTTGTTTCAACACACACTGTTTTAGAAATGCTGTGTTAAGCCAAGAAAGTGACGGGGTAGCGGGGGGGGGGGACCCTCATCAGAATACGAATATTTATTTATCCTGAAGGAATCCGATGAGCTATAAAACTCTTTTTTTCCCAGATGTCACCCTTAAAGAAGAGCTCCTGTGTCAGAATTCACAAGAGTTAGGCCATTGTATGCCGCGGGCTTAGCCAATCTCTAGCCATAATCTATATTTACCAACAGCAATAATAGCCTCTGTGCACATAGTGCAACATTATACATCTCAATGGGTGTAACCACTTACACAACCCAGCGTGGCGATAACTGCTTGGTTTTAAATCACAGTTTGTTGAGTACAGCACCTAAATGTCCAAAAACGCCAAGCGGTCAGCAACAAACGGCACTGTTTAAAAGTTGTCACAGAATTGAGCGGCGCGGTTATCATTCTACGAGCTCGGGGAAAGAGAGAAGATGGGAGGGGATGGAATTCCAAAGTGGAGCATTGGCAGGGAATAAGCGGCCGGAGAAATGCGATCTGCAGTGTGGTGCGTGGGTAGCTGGATGAATGAGTGAATGAGTAAGTGGGGTGAATGAGTGAATGGGGTGAATGAGTGAGTGGGGTGAATGAGTGAGTGGGTTAATGAGTAAATGAGTGGGGGAGTGAATGAGTGTGCTGTTGGGAACTGCAGTGTGGTGAGTAAGTGGGTGTGGAAATAAGTGGATTCATGAGTTGGTGAATGAGTGAGCGGTAGTGAACCGCTTATCGCACTGCGCTACAAATCCGGCGACCCGAGTTCGAGTCTCGCTCACGGCCAACACCAGTGACGATTATCTGAACCGGTCATGGGTTTCTCCTAGGTCGACTCAGCCTCAATTGAGTACCCGGTGCGGCGTGTAACCATCACCACTGGGGAGACAAAGGCGGTCGGGAGTGGTGTTGGCCACCCACCACCCGTCGTGTGCCGTGCCGGCCTTCATAGGCGTTCGCTAGCATTCTGTTGAAGGCTATTTGGAGGCTCATTGTGGGTGTGTGAATGAGTGGAGTGTGGGTGGGTGACCGTGTGAATGAGTGGGGTTGTGCTGTTTGTGACCTGGACCGAGGCTTCAACACGGACGAACTCATGAATCGGCGCGCGAAATTCACGGCGAGAGCTTCCCCCACGGTCGTCGTGGCGGCGACGGAACAGCGACGAGGAGGCGACTTTAGTGAATCGGTGAGTGCTGGACCATCAATCGTCCTCACTCAATTGCGTTTGTATTCTCAGCGGCACGACCTGGGTGTCCCTCCTACCCCGGGACACGACTGACGGTCGCGCGTGGCCGGACAATACCGCAGTCAATCTCGCCTGGGCCGACTTTGCACTCCGTGTAGAACCTTGCAGCAGCCGCAATGATTGTTCGGATTCAATGAGGGCTTCGGCACTGACGAGGTTACCAAGCCTCGCTCGCCACGTGCCGCCTCGGCCACATTCGCGCAACGTCGCCGCTCCGCTGTGCCGAGGATTACTCGGATGGGAGGTGTAGCGGCCACTCGTGGCTTTAGGGTGTCACGTGAACACAACACATGCGAATAATAATAATAACAATAACAACGCACGGCGCTTTGTTAATTAAGCCACTGCTGGATGATGGCCTTCCTCCCCCCCTTCCCCTCCCAAAATGTGGATGGGTAGTGTGGGTTATTTGTCCATACTTCCCCACGCTGGCCAGTGCGGGTTGGTGTGACGGGGAGGAATCGTAAGTACGTGGGAGCATCGCAGCAAGAGTACAACTGATTTTGCACCACCACAAAGCTGGCCCGCAGCAGCAGGGATCGAGTGTGATCCCGTTTCCTTGCAGATGGAAGCACTCGTTTATTCAGATGGAAGCACTCGTTAATTGGCCTATAACGTGTTGATGTATCGAGGACCGCAGAGCTTGGGAAACTGGTTGGTAGCACGTGCTCGTCGCGTGGCTTCTGCTGATGCCTTCCCGCTCGTCTGTGGTCCCTCCTCCTCCTTTCGCTCTCTCTTTTTTTTACGATCAGAGGAAACAAGAAGATGCTCGGTGTAGTCGGCACTTTGCTCCGTTCATCATTTCGGTTTTTTTTGTTTTTTTATGCTTTGGTTTATGTAAACCCCCCCCCACCCCCCTTTTAAATGAAAGACCCAACATTTTTTTTCTTTTTTTCTGCTCTCCTTACCCCTTCCCTCTCTCTCTACCCCCCTCTCTGCCTCTCCTCTCTCTCTACCCCCCTCTCTGCCTCTCCTCTCTCTACCCCCCTCTCTGCCTCTCCTCTCTCTCTACCCCCCTCTCCGCCCCCTCTCTCTCTGCCCCTTCTCTTCCTACTCCATTTGGCTATCTCTCGCTCTCTCTTTTTTCTTTATAACTACGACAAGTGCTGCACCTGCACGCAGCCCTTCCCACACTGCCTCTACGAGAGCGAGCGAACACTGTGTGGGGGAGGCACAGGTGTTACGAGTTGAAACTACGATGACATTATTATTATTACTACTACCGGTCGAGACAACCCGTGGCTCCGAAACGGAAAATAAGAGAGGGTTGTCGCTGGACGCTCATCCTCTTCTTACACTCCGCCTGTACTCGGAGAACTAAAAGCAATCTGTATTTGTCTACGGTTTAAATACAATTTCTGGCGAAAGAATTGCATCAATAGGAGTTGACGTTGAAAGTTTAGAGCATTTAAAAAAAGTATTCTGTATTCGTTACTCCAACCTCTTCGGTGTCGCTATATCCATCATTGTTATAATTATCACTATTAAACGTCTTCCGAACATCTTCTACCGCCGTTTCAATCTAATTCGGTGTTTAGCTGTTCACACGGAAATTCCCCGTGTAGCCAGTTACCCCACCTGGTTTCAGAGGCAAAGTGTCCCGTAGCAGCCACTAACAACAGCTGAGTTACCGTTGGGGTGATGAGGAGCCCAGCCAGTAGTCAGCCAGGTCACCTGAGGCGTGAGACGCAGGGCGCCGCGGTGGCTGGAAGATATTAACTACCTCGCCCGATATACAGGAGGTCGTGGGTTCGATGCCGACCCTGGCGCCTGCTGTATTTTGGAGTTTGCGGTGTCTCTCTCCCCATGGTCGCGTGGATTTTTCTCCGGGTCCTCCAGTTTTCACCCCCCTCCGAATTTATAATCAACATTACCACGTGTTTAGAGCATTTGGCTGCTATACATTTCCACATGATGATAAGCCACTTTGTTGAGCTATCGTTTGTGGCCGGGTCGCTTCTGGAAAAGAGCTATACAGTTCAGTGAGCCTTACCTGGTAAAAAAATATAAATTGTGTTAGTATAGTAAATAAATGTTGATATAGCAGCGAGAATTGACAATGTACTACTGTGGGGGGTGCGAGAGGCCTAAATGGTTTCCACTGTGGCCTCCTTGGTCCGTGTTCGCGTGGGGTCGCGTTTACATTTATCACTCAGTACTAGAGCACACACACGGACACACACACGCACACACGTACACAGACACACGTACACAGACACACACGCATACACACGCACGGACACACACGCACACACGCACGCACGCATACACACGCACGGACACACACGCACGGACACACACGCACGCACGGACACGCACGCACGGACACGCACGCACGGACACGCACGGACACGCACACACACACGTACACACACACACACGCACGGACACACACGCACGGACACACACGCACGGACACACGCACACACACGCACGCACACGCACGGACACACACGTACACACACGCACGCACGGACACACGCACACACACGCACACACACATACGCAAGGACACACACGTACACACAAACATGCACACACACACGCACGGACACACACGCACGGACACACACGTACACAAACACGCACACAAACACGCACACACAAACACGCACG